AAGGTAGAGTGATGGCAGTATTATTTTGTTGTTGTTGTTGTTTTATTTCTGTGGTAACTTTACAGCATTTTAAAGTCATATACTCTACGTTTAAACATTTATCCCTAAAAATACCTGAGCTATGTAACAGTCTAGATGTACCTATATCACTCTTCTACTACAAAGGGGGAGAAAACTTTCTTTCTAAAGCTATGAATTGAAATAAATGACCATTTACAAAAAAAAAAAATTATTTTAAAATTTTACTATCTCATTACCTTAACAGAGAGCAATGCAGCCTAGTCACAAGGAGCCCAGACTCTGGAACCAGACCACCCAAGCTGAGTTCCACTGACACGCTCTCTGTGGCTCAGCTTCCTAATTTGTGAAACAGGGATGCTGAAAATAATAGTCCGTACTACATAGGGTGATCATGAGGATTCACGAGCTGACACATGTAAAGTGCTTAGAATAGTGTGTGTCTAGCACAATGGCAGGACTATGTCTGGACATCTCTCTCTAACAGGAGAGACCCTTTCCATGATTGAACGGAGTGCTTAGAATCTCCATAGTTTGAAACAAAATCTCATCCTTCTCACTTGTCTTCTACTAGTCTGTAAGTACCTGGACTGCTGAGGCTGTATCTTATTCATCATTTTTTCTGGTTCCACTTAACATAGGTGCTTAATAAATGTCTGTTGACATGTATGTTTTTTGAACCACTTGAAAATCTAACATTGGTGTTTCATTCCTTTTCAGTTCTCAGGCATAATTCTTCTTTTTATTTATTGCTGAAGCAGATTTGCCCTGAGCTAACATCTGTTGCCAGTCTTCCTCTTTTTGTCTTTTCTTTATGTGAGCTGCCACCCCAGCATGGCCCCTAACAGACTAGTGGTATATGTCTGCGCCTGGGGACTGAATCTGGGCCGCTACAGCAGAGCATGCTGAACTTAACCACTAGGCCACCAGGGCTGGCCATAATTCTTATATTTGTATAGAATCCTTGCCATGTAACACTATAGCAAAACTATCAGTAATTCACAGTTTAGATTGACTTTTTGTTTAATTTTGCCAGAAAACAGTTGGGTACCAACTATATATGTCAGGCACAATGTTGTTGGGCACTACTGATACGAGAATAATACCAGCATGATCTCAACCCAGGATGAGCTCAAAGTTGCTCATTTAATGCAATATTCTCAATCAAAAGTCCTGAGGCAATGGGAGATTTTAGCATTTTCTGTATGTTTGGAGGAAGTCAGAGCTGTGAGAGACTTTACATTGAGTGGCTCTAGGAAGGCAGAGATGAACCTGAAGGCACCGCCTGTGGAGAGGGTTATAGAAAAGGGAATCACAAAAGAGAGAAGCAGAGGGTGAGAGAATAAAAAGCATCGTAGATAAACTTAGTTTTACCTGATTTTATTTTTTTTGGACTAACAGTCCTAGGGAAGAGGGTTTTGGGATTATCTTAACCTAAGAGTTCTCAAAATGTCCTCTTGGACCCGCAGCATCAGCAGCCCTTGGGAACTTGTTAAAAATGCAGATTCTTGGGCCGTATTTCAGGCCTTCTGAGTCGGAAGCTCTGGGGGATGGAGCCCAGCAATCTGGTTATCACAGGCCCTCTATGTGGAACCTCTGTCATCACCTAACCAGACTGCATGTAGATAATTATTTACATTCACTGCCTATTAAGTTAACAGTAATGAAACATTTTTTAAAACATCATCATTGTGATCTCTAAATAATTACTGCATATGGGAGTCATGTGTTTCTGCCAGTCCTGAAGATAAAGAAGTAGTTCTTTTCTGCTTTCTCATTAGTGATAAAAATGACATAATTAGACAGCTCACAATACAAAGCAGTATTTGCTTAACATCAGATGATTATTCGTAATAATAAATACCATAGCTATTCAGAGAAAGCAGCCATAACCACAGGTGCAGGGCATTGTGGAGGGTCAGGAGTTCAGGAGAGGTGGGCCGTCCTGCTCTAGCTCTGGGTTCCTAGATGAGCCTTCTGCTTGTTTGTTGCTAAGTAACAAACCACCCCAAACTTGGTGGGCTAAAACAACAATTTATTGTTCTCTCTCATAGTTCTGGGGGTTTCCTGGGCTCAGCTAGGAAGTTCTTGCTTGCATCTCTTTTTGCAGTTGCAGTCTGATTTCAGCTGGGATAGAGTTTCCAAAGGTTTGGCTTGGCTGGATATCAGCAAGCACTTCCTCGCTCACAGTCTTGGCCTCTTTCTGTCTGCACTTAGTGTCTCGTCCTCCAGGGTCTCTCCACATGACTTGGGCTTCTCACAGCGTAGCGGTTTCAGAGAGGTGCTCATCTTATGATGCAGCTGGCTTCTGAGAGAGGAAGTGGAACTCCAAGGCCTCTGAAAGACCTGGAGATGACACCCTATCAATTCTGCTCTGTTCTGTTGGTCACAGCAATCACAGATCAAGTCCTGATTCAAGAGGAGGGAATACACAGGTGTGAACACCTGGAGACACGGTTTATTGGAGAGCCATCTTTTGGAGACCAAGTACCACAAGTCACTTCACTGATAATCTCTGGAAAATGTTGGGTTTAACTTAGAAGATCTCTGGCATGTTCTTGCAAGTAGCTGCACCTTTCCATGGCTCACAAAACTTCCCTCAGTACATTGTAATTCACCAAGGAGAGCAGTAAAATATATCCAGAATAAATATCATCAATTTTCTATTCCCATGGCATTTTATTTTCAGTTGGTTACCAATATGGGCTGTTTCATAAGAAAAACCAAAGAAATTTTTCTTCAGGTTATAAAGCTACTAGCAGCCTCCCAGAAAAATATATCTCTAATGCTGATGAAGCATCTTTGCTTTAGTTTCCTCTCTGCAGTCAGAGCACACTAAGGCACCAGGCTACAACACAATTTCAAAGTGATGATATATAACCAATGAATTGGTGTATGTAAGTTTTTTTTAAAGTCAATAATACCTTATATATTCACTTTAGTGAGGGTTTTTTGGGAACTTTTATCCCATTAAAATTGTTGTTCCTGAATAACATAATGGTTCTATTCTGATCCAAATGTTTTGAAGTACAAGGTTTTGTAGAGAAATACGATGTCCTGTAGGAATTCCTGTTGAGTGGAAATAATTGTGGATTTTCTTAGAATTTTTTGAGTATACAGGCTCTACTGCTCAGAGTATTTATCTCGAGAGATCAAACCAGATGCCATATCCTTGTATGAAAGTCATTAAAGTTTTACCAAAGAAGCAAAATAAAATTCTAAGCTCTAAATCATTAAAAATTACTTTTAAATTGCTTGTTCTCTTAATGTAGTACAGGATTTTTACAAGATTTGAATCTATAGTAAAATCTTTATAAACTATTCTTTGCTAGGATGCCAAAAACATCTTTTCCGTAATATATTACTATAGTGTATAAAATTTTAAAATGAAGGTGATTGGAAATGTTTATACCTTATGCCTTAGACAGTTTCTTCTTTTATGCTATTTACGTTTGAATGCCTAAGCAGAACGTTTTTCTTCACATTTATAGTACACAGTATGTACACAATGAACTACCCGCTGTTCAAATTTAGGTCACAGTCATAGCATATTTTTAAATTATTCTCTACATCAGTTAATTAGGGGATGTGGACCTGTGAATTTGCATAGAAAACATTTTGCTTTATCTTTCTTATCCAGCCACGTTCACTTTGAAGCCTTCCTGGACCACTCTGTATAAGTAGTCAGCCACAGCCCCTCTCCTACCTCCCCAACTCATCTTATTGCTGGTCAGCGTCTAGCACGGGGCCTGGCATAATGAAGATGTACAATGACTATTTGGTGAATGAATGAATACCTTTGTTTCCTTAATTGAGTGGAAAACATTCCCGGTCCCAAATGACTTCAACTTGAACCTTGGGTTTCTAAGATCACCTAGACTAAGCATGAGTCTGTTAAGTGCAGGTTCTCCCAATTCTCAAAGGTGACTGGCTTTTTTGAGTGAAAATATTTGAAAACCTTTTGTAGAAATCTAACGTAGGTAAAATTTAACATAAATACTAAATTATAATACTAATACAAAGGGTAAAATTTAGCATAGAAACTAGCAAGTTATATTTAGTGTTAAGATTTAAAATGTCCTATTTTACAGATTCGTATAAATCACATTTTAAACATTTTAACAGTTGAGTGTTTCTTAATTTAGAAGTAAAAAGGAATGTTAGAATTTTCCATTTTGCCCTCAGAAAACTGGGTCATAACAGCAAAACGAATGGCACAAATGTAAATCACTAGAGCATGGTGAAACAGTGAGTTATTCTCTTCTAGCAAATGATAATATGTTCTGCTAGCTACAGCTTTTCATCATGGAGTTCCAAGGATGCTAAGGAAAATTAGAACGGTTGCCCTCAGTGCAGTAGTACCTTAACTTCACTGTGTCAGAGAAGTGTTTTTAAACTTTGGGGAAAAGGAGTCAAAGAGAAGTTACATAAAATTTTAGATCAGAGAATAGTCCTGGCATTTGCTAAGAAAGGACAATAAGCAAGTTTCTTGACCATGCCAGTTAAGTGTCCCTTTGATCATGTAATGCTGCTCCAGCTAATGGCAAACTGTGCTAGAACAAGAGACCAGTTGTGGGGAAGGGTAGCACATGACAAGTTTTAAGTGAATGGTCTAGTGATGCTATACCATATAACTTTATTTTTTTTTTGCATCCATTTAAGTAAACTAGTGATTTAAAAATCAGTGGTACTCAGCCAGTTTCACATATTAAAAATGGTAGAAAAATACAGTCATGCATCTCTGATGATGGGGATACATTCTGAGAAATGCATTGTTTGGTGATTTCATCATTGTGCAAATATCACAGAGTGTACTTACACAGCCCTAGATGGTATAGCCTACTATACACTTAGGCTGTATAGTACTAATCTTATGGGACCACCAACGTATATGTGGTCCATCACTGACCAAAATGTCATTATGTGGCACATGACTGTATTTGACTTTTATCTTTTTAAATGAAAGCATTATACTCATTTTAAATATAAGAAATAGTAATGTCACATTTTTAGTCCTCCCTAGGACTATTAATGCTCAGTAGAGAGCATGTGCATCTTTATTATATGGGAAGTTAAAATGGGATTGAGTAATTGTTATTTAGCAACTATTCTATAGATGAGTGTATAAGTTTTCTCTTATTGCTTCTGTGGACTGAATTGCATCCCCCAAAGTTCGTAAGTTTTAATCAAAACTTCCAATGTGACTATATTTGGAGATAGGGCCTTTAGGGAGATAATTAGGGTTAAATGAGCTTGTAAAGTTGGGCCCTAATCCAATAAGATTAATGTTGTTATAAGAAGAGGAAGAGATACCAGAGAGCTCTCGCCACACACATGGAATAAAGGCCATGTGAGGACCCAGTGAGATGGTAGCCATCTACCAGCCAGAAAGAGAGGTCTCACCAGAAACCAACCCTGACAGCACCTTCCTCTTGGACTTCCAGCCTCCAGAATGTGAGAAAACAAATTTCTGTTGTTTAAGCCACCCAGCCTGTGGTATTTGGCAGCCTGAGAAGACTAATATGGCTTCTGAATGAACCGCTCCAAATTTTATTGGCTTAAAACAACCATGATGAGTATTTGCTCAGTTCTGAGGATCAGGTATTTGAGTACAGTTTGGCAGGGACAGCCCTTCTCTGTTCCATGTGGTGTTGCATGGGGCAGATCAGCAAGGTGAGGAGATTCCAAGGGGACCTCATCCACACATCTGGGGTCTTGGTGCTGGCAGTTGGCTGGGGAGCCACAGTTTTTCTTCATGTGGCCTTTCTCTTTCCACATTATTTCTACTTCTCCTGTGATAAAATGGCCTAGACTCCTTTACATGGCAGACGGGTTCCCTTTTTGTGAAAGTAGAAGCTGTAAATCCTTTTAAAGTCTGGAGTCAGAACTCCCAGAATGTCACTTTCACTATTTTCCATTGGTCAAAACAAGTCATTCCAAATAGTCTGAGACGACTGGGAGATTTTGTGCATGGTAAAATGAAACAGAACATTCTGAGAGTGAGCTCTCCTTTTTGCAATAATTTCAGCTGATTATAGACTACAGTAGACTTTAAAAGATGAGCTTAGGTCACTAAGCAGCATAAATAAGATAAAGCAAAAAAACAGGATGAAGAAAATCTTCTTAAAATTGACTGAATATTACTTTTATCATAACAAACGCTAAATTTTATCTGTTTTATGTTGTGTGATCCCAGGTTTTGCTCAGTATGTAAAATAGTTAATATCTTACATGGACAAGGAAACAACTTGTAAGTATGTATAAGAATCAAAAGAGAACACATCCATTCATTAATTTAAAAACCTAATAATTGTCTATTAAATGCTTACTACCTACTATGAGAGCTTCTGGACACTGGATATACAGTAGTGAACTAACAGAGGCCTTAACTTTGTTATCCCTAAGAAAGTCCCTAACGAAGTCATCAGAGCTTTAAGTTTCTAGTGGGGAGAGACAGATAACAAACAAACAATTATGTATTAAGTCAGGTGGTGAGTACATGGAAAAAACAAAACAGAAGAAGAGAGAAAGTGATTGGAAAGAAATTGAGTAAGGGAAAGTTTGCTATTTTAAATAGAATAATCAGGTTAAAGCTGTCAGAAAAGGCAAAATTTGAACATCTCAAGATAATTAGAGAATTAGACATGCAGAAATCTGGAGGAAGATCCTTCTGTGCAAAGGCCCTAAGACAGGAATGTTCTGGAATATTCTAGCAAGAATGGCTGAAGCACAGTGAGGGAAAAGATGGAATTGAGAAGTATCCAAGGGCCAGACATACAGTCTTTCAAGCTATTGTAAGACTTTATTTCATTCTGAGTGTGATTGAAATTATTCTAGTTTTTAAAAAGCTCTCTGCATGCAGTGTGGAGAATAAACTGTAGGGAAACACAAATTGAACAGAGAACCCATTAGGAAGCTGTTACAGGATTCTGGGGAAAAAAAATAACACAGATGAGTTCCTGGGTGATACTTGAGGTTGTACAGAGAGCTGGTCAGATTCACCGTATACAATGAAAGCAGAGTTGATCTACTTACATAAGAAGTGGGGTGTAAAATACTAATAGTAAAAAATGACAATGCTTTTTGGCCTGAGCAGCTCATTGAAGAGTAAGAGCTATTTCCTTAATTGGCAGCAATGGGAAAAGAGCAAGTTTTGGTATAAAGGAAACCAAGAGTTTAGTTTATATGTAAAGTACCTAACACTGTATCTGGCACATGTTTAAGAGGAAGCTCTGTCCATTTGATATTTTCTATTCCTCCCTTATAACCTTATTTCTACAACACAATAAAAAGTATCCTAAAAAGGGGGGAGGGGCAAAAAAGAGCCAAGCTCTTGACAGCAAAACAGAGCATTCTAGCTAGGAATTTTCATATATTCAGAGTAAATTTGATGTCAGTGAATGGGATGGCTTCCTGGGCAATACACTGTCATCCACTCAGTTTCATGCTAGTTTGGTTAGACTGCATGAACTTAACCAAAAGAAACCCTAAAGCCACTGCTAAGATTAATTTCTCATGACAGTCACTACACATGTACACAGAATTTCAGAAAGAAATTTGTCATAGTACATTGATGATTGTAGAGGTTAAAAAATCATTTAGAATTTAGTACTATGGTTTCGTTACACAGCTATATTTTTTTTCTAAAGAAAAACTACTTTCAGCTGTAACTATGAAATTTCTGTTGGTAAATTCAAGTTTAAAGGTGTGCTAAAACATTAGCAAATTCTATTTACCTTAATACAATTCTTTAACAGTTGAAAATAGTTATTTAAGTAATAAAAGTCACATAAAGTTTCTGTATTTGCAGGAAAATAATCATTTTTGGAGTTTTCTAATAAGATAGATAAATATTCTGGGATAAATGATATGGGTGAGCATCAGGGGTTCTTGTTGATTGAGTTCTTAGCTTATTTTGGCTAAATATACAACCATCCCAGTATGTGCAGTTTTGAAATCCTTTGATGAAGACATAAATTTATAGCGGCTATTTCACATGGAACGATAAACATACTATTTAAATGCTTATGCAGATATTTACTATAAAAAGTCATTTTGCCATTCCATATCTATTTGTTCATTTCCCTGAAAATCGCTTATCCATTGTCCCAACACATAAATTACACTATTTACTTAAAATAATATGTGGATCATATATTAAAATTTTGTATTGAATTTGGTCTACTTTACTGACATTTTCCTTATTTTGTTGCCCTTATAGAAAATGTTCTCCTTATATCATCTTTATTTGTTGCTCAATGGAACAGTTAACTAACGTGCAAATCTTAGTAATAATTTACTAGTGAGATAAAGACCTACTTCTGTTCTGCAGCTTTCTGGCAACAGCACTGGCTTCCTTTGTTGGCTAATTCAATAGTGACTTTAACTATGGGATTTCCAAGGTAGAGTGTTATCAGATCCTGTGTTATTGATGTGACACTAGTTCATTCAACAAATATTTTTGAGCCCCTATGATATGGTAGACATCTTCAACAAATATTTGTCAAATAACGGAATGAGTTGAAGAAATCTGTCTTATAACTATGACTTGAGCAGAATTTTCCTTTGGTTTTTTACTTTGGAATAATTTCAGATTTACAGGAAAATTATGAGGATTTGATAGAATGTTGTCATATACTCATCACCTAGCTTCCCCTAACTGAACATCTTACATAATTGTAATTTTTACATATTGCTTTTGTTAAAGTTAAGAAATTAACATTGATCCTATCCTATTAACTACAGACTGTTTTTAAAGATTTCACCGTTTTTCTGCTCATGTCTATTTTTATGTCCCAGGATCCAATCTAGGATACCACATTGCATTGATCATCATGTCTCCTTATCTCTTTCTCCCCATGACAATTTTTGAGCAGACTTTTGACATCTATGTCCAAAATATTTGAATGTCTAGAGTTTGTGTTTTCATCGATTATTAAGTGTCTATCGTAATACACTGTTCTTGGCACTAGAAAATAGACATGACTAGAATATTCTTATCTTAGAGAGGCTCATAATCTATTGTGAGCAAATAATTCCAGCAATGACATAAGTGCTGTAACAGAGGAATAGTGAGGATATAAGGAAAACCATCTGACTCCCACTGGAATCATTAGATTAGATCTTCAAGGACAGTGAATGAGACTTCTACAGTTAAATGGGAGCATTCAAGACAAGGAATGGCATATGCAAAGGCACAGAGGTGAGAAACACAGCATAGTGACTGACGAGACTGGCATGTGGAGTGAATGAGTGAGTAATAAGAGAATACAAAGACCAGGGGGAGTCAGATCCCAAAGGACTTATATGTTCTACTAAAAAACGTGGGCTTCATTTCTCAGGCAATGAGAGCCACTAAATTTTTTTTTAAGCAGAATCTATAAAGATTTTCCCCTATATTATGTGACAGAGATTGTTATAAGATCATTAGATCATTCTGGGGAGTTATGCCTGTCTACTAGATTTTTATTCAGTACAGTGTGGTTTTCTCAAAGATTGATTTTCCCTTAATGTTCAATAAGGATTAGGAGGGTCTTTAGGACAAAGGCTATCATTCATAAACTTTTTTAGACATTCTCTCTCTTCATAAGTAAATTTTAGTAACAACCAATGAAAACATACTTACATTTCACCTTTATTGTCCAAATTTTCTATATTTTCCTACAAATAAGAAATGTAGTGGGACACAAAATCCAAACCAACAAAAGCAAAAATAAATAAGTGGGACTATATCAAACTAAAAAGCTTCTGTACAGCAAAGGAAACCATCAACAACATGAAAAGGCAACCTACCAAACAGGAGAAAATATTTGGAAATTGTATATCTGGTAAGAGGTTAATATCCAAAATATGTAAGGAACTCATACAACTTAACAGCAAAAAAACAAACAATCCGATGAAAAAAGATGGATATAGGATCTGAGTAGACATTTTTCCAAAGAAGACATACAGATGTCCAGCAAGCCCAAGAAAAGATGTTCAACATCACTAATCATCAGGGAAATGCAAATCAAAACCACAATGAGATGTCACCTCACCCCCTAAAAGACAAGAGATAACAAGTGTTGGAGAGGATGTAGAGAAAAGGGAATTATTGTGCACTCTTGGTGGTAATGTAAATTAGTGCAGCCACTATGAAAAATAGTATGGAGGTTCCTCAAAAAGTTAAAGATAGACTACCATATGATCCAGCAATTCTATTTCTGGGTATTTATCCAGAAGTAGGAAAAGAAAGAAGGAAAAGAAAATACTAATTCGAAAAGATATATGCACTCCCATGTTCATTGCAGCGTTATTTACAATAGCCAAGGTATGGAAACAACCTAAGTGTCCACCAGTGGACAATGGATAAAAAAGATGTGCTGTATATACACAATGGAATATTATTCAGCCATAAAAAAGAAGGAAATCTTGCTGTTTATGACAGCATGGATGGATCTTGTGAGCATTGTGCTAAGTGAAATAAGTCAGACAGAGAAAGACAAATAGTGTATGATCTTACTTATATATGGAATATAAACAAAAATCCTAAATTCGTAGAAACAGAGAATAGATTGCTGGTAGGGTGTGGGGAGTGGGCAACGTGGATGAAGATAGTCAAAATGTACAAACTTCCAGTTGTAAAATAAATAAGTCCTGGGGATGTAATGTCCAGCATGGTGACTATAGTTAATAATGCTGTACTGTATATTTGAAAGTTGATAAGAGAGTAGATCTTAAAAGTTCTCAACACAAGAAAAGAAAACTTTTAACTGTGACGTGATGGATGTTAACTAGACCTATTGTGGTGATCATTTCATAATATATGCAAATATAGAATCATTATGTTGTATATCTGAAACTAATAAAATGTTATATGTTAACTATATCTCAATAAAAAAAAAATTAATGGATGTGGACAGAACTGAGGGCTGTAGAAGAACACAAAGAATGTTGCTCAAACCTGGAATGGTTTTCTGAATGTGGAAAAAAGTTGTTAATTTTATAAAAGAATGAACATTTTTAAATCCCAACTTAATAGTTTGCTGAAATCGCCAAGTCAAGCACCAAAGGAAGGAATTTTATTCTGAATTTATACAAGGCACAGGGGATAAAATTATACATTTTCAAGCAAGGCCAGGCTGTTTTTTGTCTGTTTTAGAAGCCAGTATTGTTCAGACCTTGCTACTCAATGTATGATCAGCATCACCGGGGAGCTACTGGATCACTACCTGCTTTTGTAACAGGATCCTCTGTGATTCGTATGCACATTCAAGTTTTAGAAGCACTAACTTAAGACATTGGTTATTAGATTTTTAAATTTTTATGAAGAAATATGTGATAGCCATAAATAAAATCACGGCTGTAGTTTATTTTTAAAAGAAGAAAACTTGTCAAGACAATGTGCTTGCTAAAATTCTTCTAGAAAGGAAAGAACATTGTGTGTGCCTATCAATCTTTTTGAATATGCGTTTTATTTTTACCTAACAGCATGCAGGGACAAATGGGAGCACTGTTTTTAAGCATCTCTAAATGCTACTTCATTATATTTCACTCCTTCTGATTCTGCTTTTTTAATGACTGAGTGAAATTTACTATATCAATCTTGCAAGAAAGTTTTAGATATGTAACTTTAAATGCTGAATTCTTTAACCTACCACGTAAATATTTGGGTTTATGTCAAGCTTTAATATGACTTTTATAAAATTCTGAATTTCTTGGGAATTTAAGTATAATATCTTTGTATTCTTTGTGATTTCTGCAAGAACTATAATTCCCGACTGTATTTTAAGTGAAATTTTAATAAATGAAAGATAGAAATAATTTACCTTTCAGAGGACCTATGCCCTTTTCAAATTATTTCCTTATATATTTAAAAGTGTCTGGTTAGGGGCTTATTATATACAAAAGTATTGTTAGAGCTACAGTGATTTTTGCCTTCAGGAAATTAGCATCAAAGTCTGGGATGCTAGCTTGCTCATGAATAATTCTGATTCATTTATTTATTTATTGTTATTAATCTAAGACAGGGATCAGCAAACTTTCTGTAAAGGGCCAGATAGTAAACATTTTAGCTTTTGTGGCCCATACAGTCTCTGTCTTACCTACTCAATTTTGCCATTGTAGCATGAAAGTAGCCATAGCTAATAAATATATAAATGAGCATGAACTTGTTCCAATAAAACTTTATTCATGAACACTGAAATTTCAACTTTATATCTTATTCTTCTTTTGATTTTTTTTGTAGTCACTTGAAATTGTAAAAGCCATTCTTAGCTCGTAGGCTAAACATAACAGCCAGTGGGCTGGATTTGGCCCGCAGGCTATAGTTGGCTGACATCTGATAGAACGCATTGAGTATATGAATGTATATTGATGGTAGTTTACTATTGATTATAGATTTAATAGGAACCTGATGAGTTCCTGGTATCTAAGCTATAACATTGCTATTATGTTTTTGTTGATTTGAGAAGAAAACCAGAGACAGAGATAGAAGTAAAGAGAACTAAAAATCATTGAGAATGTATTATGTACTAAACACTGTGCTCAGCATTTTCCATGTTTCATTTTATTTAAACTCCCCCATATCCCAGTGAAATAGGTAGCATCATTGCCATTTTACACAAGAAAAATTGAGGCTTAAATAACTTTTCAAGGTCACGCAGCAAGTCAATGGCAGAATTAATCCAAGTCTGGCTTCACATCCTGAGATGTTTGCACTATAACACATTGGCCACAATGACTCACCAACAGGAATGCATGCTGTATACTAAAAAGATTTATTTTTTGAGTCAGATGAGAGAAAGTGTCACAGAGAATGTAGTGTTTATTTGGAACCTTGCGGTGGAATTCTGACAAGCAGTAGGAAAGTAGAGGGAGGCATTCCAAATACAGGGGCAAAGCTAAGAAGATAGAAGTTCGAGGTTAAAAAGTAGGCAGATGGAAGACCACTTTTGAATTCCCAGTGGATGTGACATTGTTAACTTACTCCCCTTCATTTCTCTGCCTCTTCCTCTTTGTAATTTTCAGCTTTTGTAGCCTGATAAAAAAGAATTGATTCACATTCTTCTTTTTACTTATTTGTCTCTATTCTTGACCCAAATTTTCAAAAAGTAAACTCATTGCTGCTCCCCTGGCAATTCTGTGTCCCGAAGAAAAATTTCAGAAGGAGCCTCCAATTTCCACCAATTGTACTTGGCAGTGTGCTGTAATAAAAGACTAAGGAGGTAGCTGGTAGAGGTTGTGTCTTTCACACACCATCGCCTTTTGTACTTTCTCAAAGCAGATTACAGCCGCATAGCTATTTAGATGATATGCAAATTATATCTGGTCACAGTATTTGAGCTAGATAATAATTACTACATAGGTAGAGTGGTGCCTGTTTCATTGACACAACTATGCACCTTATTACAGACTCTGTATTTGTTGTATGGTGAGAATGTTGAGAAACATAATCTGCATTTTCCTCTTAATAACTCAGTCTCATATGTAATATGTGTTTAATTTTTAGGCACTTTAATTCTTCTTTGTTCAGGGATCCCTCATAGCCCAAAGAGCTGAGGTAACACAATTAGAAGTTAGTACAGAACATCTGCGCTAGAGTCCAGAGTAAATGTTAGAAAAATGATATGAGAAAGTTCTACCCTAACAGAGGTTCCCCATGTCTTTGGGTTAGCATTTTCTACAGTGCACATGATTCTATAGGATAAAGAAAGAATAAAAAAATGTGTGAAAGAACCTCTCACAAAGAAAATCTACAGTATCAAACAGTGTTCGATTTTTATGCAGGAGATGGAAGACATGACTGTATTTTGAGGGTCAAACTCAAATATGTTTCTCATGTCCTAATGTTTATTTAGGGAAAAGTAAGCGGTTTTCATGGAGTCTTAAAGAGGTAAGAGATCAGTAGAGTCTCTGTTGCTACTAAAGACCATTTTCCAAGATTTAAGAAATGTCCTGTCCTTTATAACTGTTAAATTATATGATGAAACGAAAAAGAGGAAACACCGTCAGGAAACATTTTATAAGTGGTGACTCCTGTAATTCACAGGATGCAGCATATTTTGAAATAGTAACCTGGGGACTGTCTGCTTATGACAATATCATCCTAAAGTACCTCTAGCTATAACATGTTGAAATAGCATGCATTGGGGAAGCTACAGCCATGAGTCCAACTCTTCTTTCCTAAATAATACTTTTGGCTGATCTAAGCTGCCCCTAGAT